AATTCCGGACTCTTGCGAATTCTCTCATCATAAACAACAAAGCGCAGATGGACGTACAATGTAAGTAAGAGATTCATTTCACAGTGTATACAGTTTCAGTGATTATAACGATAGTTTTGTTGTTTTGAGAGTGCTTAAATTCGCGATAGATCAATGTTAGTGATAATGTCACTTTCTATATATAATTTATTCGCTGTTTGAATAAACGTGGAAAGGAAACGTTATATAGCCTAATTATCAATTTCTAACGTTTTTATTAAGATCATATTTGGGAGCACCTGTAATCACGTTAAATACAAATTCAGTCCCATTAAACATTTTTTATGTCTGGTCCTTGCCTAAAAACACGGGTTTATGATGTTTTATACATTTGGCTGCTTTTAGTCTTGGTCATTGTTCTACTGGTTAGACAATACTGATAAGAATAAATCGTAAATGGAAAATATACTGATTGCAAAAAACAATTACGGATTAGGATTTTTACTATTACTGTATATTTTCTCCTTGAATGACAATTTTGAGAGGTTTCGAATGATGGTTTTGAATAACAGATTATTCAAGCGAACTTCATTCCATGTAAACACAATATGCAACAGGACCACCCTCCAGACATTACAGGACATACCTGAGAGGGCGAACTTGCCAGCTCCATCTTTTCTAGAGACTTCTCCTTGGCCATCCTGGCTGCTTCCTTGTACTCTGAAAATTTATCTGCAAACTGAGAAGAGAAACAGGTTTTAATCATCACATTAAGTGAATTTTTAGTGACTGCTAGCTTGGTGCTGGTCTCGCTGGTCCAGCTGATGGAGCACATCAACCAGCATGATCTTTCTGCTGAAGTTTATTCGACCAAGAAAGTCTTGATGGTCAAGCTAGCTAAATAAAGCCTGATGCTTGTGACTATTCATTCTTGACTTTTTAATGTATAATATAGAGACAGAAATAAGGATATCATGTTTATGTGTTTAAATGGATGAACTATTCTAGGGTGGATATGCTGTATCTCTGCTAAAAAAAGGAGCAATGGTCACAGTTCCCAATATAGACTGCTCCCATTAAAGCTTCCAGAGCTCTAGAAGGACTGCAGCATTTCCCTCTGAATATCCAGCAGGAAGGTTTCTGTAAACTTTTGGGTCAGGGCTATGGACCATGGTGTTCCATTAATAATGTTTAAACATCAGATCTTGAGTGAATACATCTCAGAGAGAGAAGGTTTACAGCAGGGTTTTTTTTTTTTTGAGAAAA